ATCGTTTGTTGTTGATGATAAGTGTTGGCTTTTTCTGTTCTATTGACACTTCGTACAACTGTCTCTATCGAAGAATGTTTCATGGCGTTTCAACATCTTCTTTCATATTATAAGTTTGCATTCACATCACTCAAAAACGGGCCAACACTAACATACATGTAGCCTATCAACATTTCAAAGAGAAGTAAATCCATTTCATAATAATTCTCATTGTTTTTTTCACAAAAATCTGATGTGAATAACAGCTTATAAATGATTTCCAGCTTTATTTTGCATTATATATTACAATGTGTTTACTCTTGTGTCTGGGATTGCTCTTGTGGTTTAATTATATCTATTATAAAAAACATTATGCAAAGACTTAATGAAAAATTAGACTATAGATCTTATAAATTGCTTGATAATATTAAACAATTATTATACTTTTATCCAAGAATGCGATGCTTGTCCCAGATAACCCCCGATTTAGTTTATGCTTATTCTTAATATGCATTAAGAAATTAACTATTATATTCGAAATCTGATCTACCTACATACAAAAATGGGACCCGCTTTATAAATACTTACATGTGAAAAATAAGCTTCAAAAATATTTAATGGGAATTAGCTATACGATGCTTCGAATGCTTTGAGCGAAAAGAATAATTATGCAGTTTGGAAATCTGAAAACAATAGCGGGATCAATAAAAATATTTATCAGAAAAAAGGTTTTACCACTAGACTCGAGGTAGTTCGAAAATTTGAATAAAATGTCCAAATAAAAAAAAGAACAAAAACTATTTAATTATTTAAGGTCAAAATCAATTCACGAAATCACTGATTTACTGCACAACTATTTTAAATAATCATACATATTTATATTGTGGATTCGTCTTGTGCTGCTATAATAATGTTTACCAATATATATCTAAATATAAATGATAATTAAACTCATTTAAATATTTTCTAGGTCTGTAAACCACACGTGGAGGATTGTGGCAGAGGTATGGATTTAAAACAGGTAGCTATTCATATTAAAATTCATTAAAAATATCAAAAATCAAGAGCAAATCAGTAAAATTATTATACGCCAAGAGAAAAAAATTTACAATAGGTATTATTCTTTAAAGATTTAAAACATGAAATAAGTATGAAGTAATTTAAATATTAATGGTTTAACAAACCCTTTACTATTCCGTGAATTAGGTACTTCATATCTCCTACAGATAGGTACAACTGAACTCGAAATATGTCCTGAATTTGGGATTATTTTTCTTAAGCATGCTATGTATTAATTTAATAAGGAAAAGGTGCTACACTGTCAGTAGGTACTTAATTTTGTAATACCTTGTTAAACCATGTTATATTGCAATTAATATTAAATAAGAAATTAATGAAATATAAGTAAAACAAAAGACCCTTAAACAGATGACAATTAATTAAATGTACTCATAATTTACTCTTATTACAGGAAAACCATCCCACCTGCCGTAACATCAAGAAAGAACTTTGAAACAACTTTTAATTTTATTTTTCCTAGTAATTAGTGTTGTTAATAAATGTCCTCTGGATAATATATCACCAAAAATATATCCAATGTTTTGCCTACTACCAAAATATCAAAACTATTTATCCTATCGAAACTTTTTGTAAATTTCGAAATCACGCGTCTTTGACATGATTTCTTTTATATCACTAACAATGTTTATTGCTCTGTTTACTACGAAATATAGTATTTTTAGATGATCTTTCTTTGTTATAAATTTTACCACAGAAATTAATATTCGCTATTAGATAAGACTTATCAAAAATACAGTAATATATCTTGAATATATTTTTACTTTTTCGAACCTAGGCTGTTTATTACGAATGCAACGGTATTTTTTTTATATTTGGACCAAATTTCTTGATCATTTATTTGGGGTCGTTTGATCTTTTTATTTTTTAACTTTTAAATTGTTGAACTTTGATAATATCTACTGTCTACCTATACAAATGTGTTTATCTGCTTGCAAATCCTACCACTTTATAGGTGTTATATGAATAGATATTTACACTTTATAAATATCAGTCCGTTTGTGAAACGGACGTATGTTTCGGCTGATTTCTGTATTCAAAGTTCCAAGTTATCACGAGAATAATATAACTACCATTTTGATAGCATAGCGTGTATTGGGCCCATGTTAGCACCACGGCGGTTTAGTAAATTATTTACCTAATATGTTTTAATCGCTTTATAGCTGTAATCTATAACCGTGATCTATATTTTGAAACGAAAATTTGTACTTAATCAAATTGTTGTTTGTTTAAGTAAAGTTAAATTAGAATATATTTAAGGACTTGTGCTACCTTGCGTTTTTACATTTAAAAAAAATGTGTAATCGTAACTGGCCAATATTTTTAAAAATATATAATCTATCCTGTGTAACTACAGCAAATAATGCATTACTTAAATATCTTTTTACTGTGTGTGTATTAATGTATGTAAAAACAGCTTTGTAGTTAGAAATTGTAAAAATTCACACTAGGTAATTAGATGTTTCAAATAAATAGCCACTCATTAGTTATATTAATCATTATGATATTCGTGGCTCCTTTACATTTGCTCGGCAACTGCAAACCGTGTACATTCACCAAGATATCACTACTCAATAAATTGCTCGGAACTACTTATATAGCGTGAATGGGAAAGATTAAATTAGGTTATAATTGCCACATAAAAAAATACATGACAGAATGCGAACAACGAACAAATGAAGTGGAGCCTCAACATTTACTATAAACATAGATTCATAGAAATTATTGGGAGGATTGGCCAGTAACTTACTCGTTATATAGGCGGGATTTCGGGATGAATATTATCAAATTATTATAATCGGTCCATCGAAATTTGAGATCATAATGTATCGAGACCGATTTATAAAAGTACGTAAGTTGCACATCGTTATTGTTGACAGTTTCATTAGGGCGAGATATTAGATCGTAATTTTAAGTATGACGTCACGGTTTTGAAACACAGTACCTATTTTATGTACATGCTTACATAATATGTGGCGTAAGATGAGGTAACGATGATTCGCCTCCCCTTATGCATAATGTGAAGTTTTAGGACAATATTTTAGCATATGTTTTAAATTTTGTTCTTTCTAGATACTACTAGGCTATTATTATGTCCATTTAGATGAGAAAAATTACAACATTAACTAATATTTCAACACCATCTTACTTAGCAACCACTTAGCTATCTGAAAACAAGCCAAAAATAACACTGCGTACCATTAATGGTTGAAGTCCACGTTCAAAATAATTAATTAAGTCTAATTTTTATTTGTTTACACTAAGTCTGATCGCCTAGAATGTTGATACATTTACAGACGTAGTGTAAATATCGTTCTTCCAATGCAACTGACAATAATTGTCATTATAATTTGTAAAATAATGCATTATATATTTCAAGAATTGGTTATTAAATTGCAATGTGTTTTGGGGTTTCTCCGGGCAAACGACAACATTATTGAGATTGCCAGTTGTGAAATTTTGCATAGAGTCAAGAATAAGTTGTACCAGGTTATTGTAAAGGGCACGCCATCTTCCAATGAGGTAATAACATTAGATACTATGAATTCTTGGGCATAGCAAAAATATCAACGATTTTGCCTACCCTTCGACTTTTATCAGGGATGATAATTATGTTTTGTAAGTTGTTTAAATACTGTGTTTCCAGAACGTTGACAAAAATAACATTCACTGTAAGGTAAAAAGATAACACACCACAAGTATGTTATGGGATTTAGATAATAATTTGGCTGTTACTTATAGCGTTGTTTACAACTCTATGACGTTAGTGCAACACTGGTCTTCTTTGGTGTTGCCGCGCTATATTTTAAACAACATTGTAGGTAGGTAAGCCATAGCTATAAGCATTGTGGTCATAAAATATAAATTAAAATGAAATAAAAATGTTGTAACTGAAACGATGTTTAATTTAAGTATAGAATAGACCTCAGACCATGACAGATGGTGCCCAATGCCCGACATTCCGCCGAGGTTGTGGGACAAGCGCCCTATGACAAGCGCCATGATGATTTTAGCCTGCCCCCGCCTGATGCAACGTCCCTTTTACTAGCATTAGCGTGTCGTCAGCGTGACAGGCCACGCTGACCCTACTCGAGAGGTCGGTGCGTAACATCCAAAGATTATTGATCCCTGATCATTTGCACGCATTGCACCAGCGTTGTCGCAGCTTCAGCACTATAATTTGAAGTATTATAATTACTTATTACATCTTTTCTTACGTCCCTTCACTTACCCTAAGTCATTAATGTCTAAATAGTAAAGGCAAGTAGGTGGGTAGCACTGAAAAAATCGTTCGTTACCCAGTTTCAAATTTTCCCCCACTTGTTTGAGGGGCCTCTTAGCTCTTAGCTTAAATCTGCATAATATCTATTTTATAATAAAGTGATTTAAACGTATAAATGTAAATGATCAAACTGTAGCAGTACACACCACAAAATGTGTACGTTTATAAGGTATAAGTCGGCAAACGAGCAAACGGATTACCTGATGTTAAGCAATCAGCGCCGCCCATGGACACCCGCAACACCAACGCGAGTACGTTGCCAGCCTTTTAGATATAGGGGTTGCAGATAAAAGGATCGGGAAGGGATAGGGGAAGGGGCGGGATTGGGCCTCCGGTAACATCACTCACACAGCGAAACACAAAGCTGTGGTGGTTTCACGCCGGTATTCTGTGAGGCTGTCACTCCATTCGAGCCGACCCATTCGTGCCGAAGCTTGGTTCTCCCACACTTATTCATAAAATAAGTACCTATAGCTGCCCTGTGCTGCCTTCAAAATGAGTTTTTCTGATATTTTTAATATAACTTTGGATAGACTATGAATGGGAAATTGAAATAAAATATTACTAGTAAAAAAAAAATTGACATCAGTCATATTCCGTGAACTGTCAGTTATATCCTTATGTCACATTGTCAATGTTGTTATCTGATAACGTCAATGTCCTGGAATGTATTCTTTACGGATGCTTCCAAATTGTCCCGAAACGGATGCACGGGAGTGGCGGCGTATTACCAAAATTCAAGAATCGCGCTGCTCTCTAAATGTCCTCCCCAGGCCTCTGTGTTCACTGGGGAATGTGTTGGCATCTTAGAAGCGATACAATTTATTAAAGCTCACAACCTTAACAATTCTGTAATTTTCTCAGATTCTCGAAGCAGCTTACAGTCTCTGAGCCAAGACCAACTCCATTCTCGAACAAATAATAGTTTAGTTATAGAAATAAAATCTTTGCTTTTTTCTTGCCACATAGATGGATTAAACGTTGAGATCGCCTGGGTTCCTGGCCACGCTGGTATATGCGGTAACGAGTGCGCGGATACATTGGCAAAGTTTGCAGCTACAAACGATGTCGAGCGACGTCACTACATTGTGTATGGATATGACTTACGTTCTGACACCAAACACAAGTTGTTCAGCGAGTGGGATGCAGTGTGGGCAGAGTCCTCCAAACGGAAGGGTACCTATTACGCAAATATCCAGTCCGGCATCCGGCGGAAGCCTTGGTTTTGCAGATACCCTAGGTTTTCCCGACAAACTGTTGCGTCCTTATGCAGACTTAGACTCGGACACTGCTGTAGTCCGGTATTCCTCAACAAGATCCGTGTTCGTGACAGCTCGCTGTGCGAATGCGGTCTTGATGAGGGGACCTTAGATCACATATTCTTTTCCTGTTCCCTAAATTCTCAGTCCTTCGACCTGTATCAAAAGCTTCCCAGCCTCCAAATCCCTCTCCCAATTAATTTCCACTCCCTACTAACCTTTTTTTCAAATAAGTTGATAAAATACCTTTCCCAATTTGTCTCCCAAAATAATATCAAAATATGATGGTGTGTGATATAAATTATAATGTATATACCTATCTCCTTGTCTATTGTATACTCTCTCTCTATGACTGTCTATGTTTAATTAAAATTCGTATAAATTAATTGTATATTTATCTATGTTAAATGTTTACTAACCCAAGTGTGTTGTCTTTCTAGCTACTAACAATAAACTACCGCAAAGTCAATGTTCGACGGGTCTTAAAACTGCCGTCACCCGTCACAACTCGACACTGGCAGAATAGTCGACAACATTGGAGACTCAGTTGCCATTAAGGAGAAAAAAAAAAAAAAAAAAAAACGTCAATGTCATATGTCAGTAAGTTGCTTACTGTTCCATACGTGTCGCGAGTTTAGCGAAAAATAATTAAAAAAACTAATTAATTAGTATTATAATATTACTTATTTGCACTTTTATAAAATCAATAATCTAATAAATAAACTTACTTATCGTTAATTGTGTAAAGTTTAGTTTTACTTTAATATTTATTTTTGTGAATTTCGCAACATTAATACACCGACTGAAACGGAGACTTCTAAGGTATTTTTGTTAATACACATTTGTTATAGACATTCGATTTGGAATTAGAACCTTTTTAAAACTTGTTACTATGCAGGCTAAGGGAACTATGATTGAGTTACCTCGGATCACAAGAGCTCTTCGTGCACACACTCAACTCGACAAGCCACGATGTTTGAAGCCGAAAGTAGACCCTACCAAACCTCTACAACTAAAGAAAAAGAATTTACAAAGGTAAGAAGTATTTTTAATTATGTTTACCCATCCATAAGTCATAATTCCATATTTTTATCTTATAAGATTTCTTTTTTGTGTTTTGTCCTTTAAACTAATAAGAAAAAATGTACAATTGACTTCAAATTTTAAATAGATGTTATCGGAAGAAAAGAACATGTAATATGTAAGTATCTAAATAGACTAATAGATTCAAACCCTTTTAAAAGAATCTTGCATTAAAAACATAATGTTGTGCAACATTGTTTCATTGAAATAAATCTATATTTCACAACATATGATCTCATAATGATATTAAGAACCATAACACTTTACAAATATTAGTTAATATATATTTACAACTATATATTTAATTAATTGGATCCATTATATATATTGAAAATAAAAACTTCTTCACTTATATTAAGTGAACAAAGTTCTACTAGGTTCATGTCACATAGGATGTCTTTTCATAAGCAGTGTGTTTGCTTGGGTCTGTTAGATTTATTTTTACTTTAGGTAACTGCATTATACATAATGAATCATAGTATTAATCTTACAATAATTACACAAATATGTACTTTTATTTATACTAACCAAAAATTCAGATTACTTTCATTCTTACAGTTCAGTGAACCATATAAAAATGAGTAGAATAAATTAATTGACAAAAAATGATAATCATATTCATTCTATTCCAAATTTCAGGTTCAAATCCTACACAGACATTTACAACTATGTCAAACAAAACGAGCCGGATTCAGCAGATATATTAAAACTCTTTCCTCAATTAAAAGAAGCATGCAAGCTTCTCACGGGTGACCAGTCAGATGAAATCATAGAAGATGCTGCAGTTCTTACCTTGAGAATGTTTTTGGATCAGGATATTGTGATGTTGAAACATATGTCACAGCTTAGGCAAACATTTGGCACTGTTTTATCTGCAACGGCTAATAAGATTTGTGAGGTATGTATTCTTTTTGTGAGTGTTTTACTAAATGCTTTTAAATCCCAACTGTATTTTTTTATGAAATAACTGGTGTTCATGTTGGGCAAAAGCATAAAAACTTTAACCATTTTTTTTATATATTGGTTACTGAAATATATGTAGTCATAAGTTAAGTCATTCTATAATTAGAACAAAGTTATTAAGGTTAAAGACTTTGTTTTTTATTCTTATTATATTATGAGTATTGTTTTTTCATCATGTATGTTGTCAGTATCAGTGTACAATGTATAATTATATAATTTGTCCAAATGATACCCTGTATTATGTAAATATTTTACTATAATACTAGCTATTCCCGCGCGGTTTCACTCGCTACTGGACTCCATTTGATTGTAGCGTGATGTTTTATAGCCTATAGCACTCGGGAACATTGTAGCTATCTATTAGTGAAAAAATTTTAGGAATCCGACCAGAATTCCAAAGATTACCCCCTACATACAAGCTTACAAATTTTACCTCTTTATAATATCAGTATAGATTGTAATATTGTGATGTGGTGTAATAATTAATATGTATATTATTATTGTTTACTTTCTCATTAGCTTCAAATCCTTTAACTTTCAATCTCACATTACAGATTGTAACAAAAATATCAGAACAACTATCTGACAACACAAAAGATTACATTAGAACTGAAGAAGCGGAATCAAATAAAGAAAACATCAAACTATGGGGAGATCACATTCAGTGCCATTACATACCTTATAAACCAGTGAAGAAACCTCTTGCTAAGTTGACTAGTAAACCTGCTACTGCCAGTGCCTTTGTCACGGACTTTTCTATGAAATATGATAGTGACCGTGCGGCTAAAGCTACTGCAGGACCTTCTAAAGTGACTGCACCTATACCTGAGTCTAAAGTTAGTATGATTTTGTTTGTACTTGACTTATTTCAAATTTTAATTACTTTATTAATTAAAACCTGAATCAAATGTTTCTTTTTGCACAACTTAAGACTTGTTATATTTTGAGCCCTATTTTTATAGAATAAAAATCTATGTTAATGTTGAGTTATTTCATGTAGAATATAAAAAAAAATCCTATAGGTAATTTCATAATGTTTATTTCACTCTTTTATAACCCATATTCATTGTATCACACAACATGAAAACATATTTATTACTATTTACTTGCAATTTCAGTATGGAAAAACTTGGCTAGAAACTAAAGTGAAAGAACAATATGAAAACGTAGCTGAGATCTCAAGCGTGGACATTCTTCAGTCCATTATCACATTACTGAACTCTCCCCGGACTAATGATGAAATGCAGAATGATCTCTTCGAGTTACTCGGCTTTGATAAGTTCGAGTTTATACAGGAGATACTGGAACATAGGCAGGATATTATCAATAGTTTGAAGGCACCTCCAGCTGGACCTACCCTGTCTGAAAGTAAGTAAATAGTAAAAAGGTTTTGCTTGTCAATCACAACTTACTGTCCCAACTAATGTCTTGTTGCCATTATAAACTTTTACTGAATTAGCTGATCTTTAGTTTAAATAACTATAATTAAAAAAAAATCTATAAGTATTTTTGTAATTAGTTTATAAGTACTTTGTAGTGCCCAACAGGGCCTATAATACGGTAGTTTCCAACTAGTCAAATTCAATACTTTTATCCGAACGTCAAAAACTATACTTTTCTATGAAATTTGTATGAAGAACTGAGCTATGACGTCATAACATTTTTGCGTCAAATATCTTACTTATTTCACAATAATAAGGTAAAAAATCTAAAACTTGGTATATCCATCGATCGATGAATAAAAGTATAGTTATTTTTCAATATTTTATAGTATTGTAACATCGAATTAATTTATTTTTGACCTAGGAAACTACCCAATTGAAACATGTTTAAATTGTAGACTACCTCTGTACCTACACTAAAGATTGGCATGACATTTTATTTGATTTGATTTGAATCTTAATTCAAAGATTCAGAAATTCGCCTTACACTAGTTAAGCTTTTCCGTTAGATTTTCCAAACAAGAAATATAAACTTCATTAAAATAACTTATTTCTCTCACTCAACTTTTGCTTCAAGTTAATATTATTTACTTTTATTTTCAGTTGCAGCATTACTCCCTGAAAATAAAATGCCTCAGTATCTATGCCAAGTGTCAGTGTTGTCTGAACAAGAGAAGATGTTAGCCAAGTTAGTAAGGAAAGAAGAAAAGAAAGCAAAGAACAGAAGAGTTGAGGATGATGATGATGAGGAACAGGAAATTAATATATCACAGATGAGGGCTAAAAGGTGAATCTAAAGTAGAATAATAGATTCACTAATGGTAAACATAATGTGCATGTGAATGCGTCGAAATATGATTAAAATGGCGTAAAATATTTATTCCACAGAACAAATCTTTGACATTTTTAATTATTATTTATGTTATTCTTTAACAAGTGCACCCGAGATTGTTTTCCGAGTCTAGGTGATACATTTATTCATGAATTTGTAAGTTGTTAATCACACTCATGACGCAAATAAAACCCAAGTAAATCCAAGCACAATTAGGCTCCGCGGCCTTGGCCTAGAGCAGGAGAAGGAATGGGCAGGCATTTAGTCAGTAAAAGTCTGACACTTCCTCTTGGCTCACCCGGGCGGAAGCAGTGATTTAATGAATTACCCCTGACAAAAGAATAAGGCCAAAAATATATAAAAAAGAGAATTCACAAACAATTATAATCGTATCTTCATCTTACAAAATTCCTAACCCAAGAAAGCGATGCCTTTCTCAATACTGTACAAGTTTAGTACAAATCATTATAAAATGTCTTCCAGGCTAGCCGAGTTATCGAAACCAGTAGTACCATTTTCAACATCATCAAGGTCAAGCAATGTGGACCCCATACTACAGAAAATATCGTATTTCCAAACTAAAGTGCAGTACCCAAATGTGTATGACTCGTCTATTAATGCAAAAAATTCAGCTGGTAAGTACATAATCATATATTGATCACGACAAATTATAGATTGATGGAAATAACAGATTAGTTCTTACCAATTACAGTATGGTTAGTTACTATTATAGACTGGTTGAATCCCATTACGAATTGGTTGATCCCAATTACAGGTTTGATGATGTCAATTACAGGTTGATTGATTACAATAACAGACTGGTTAATGTCAATTACAGATTGATTGAATTCAGTTACAGTTTGATTAATGCCAATTACAGATTAATTTAACCAATTACAAAGTTACTGATAGACACTGCCTGACAAGTCTGACACGTTCTGATAATAATAAAGTTTCAAATTCGTAGATATGCGATCGCACTTTTCTAAATGAAAATACCCACTACAAGAGTCAAACTATTCCCGAATTATTATACCGATCTATTCTAGGGTTCGTATCGGGCCTCAAACTGATATTACCAGAGAATGCAGTGAGAAAAGACACAAAAGAATTCGAGGAAGTAACAATACCTAAGAACGACCCGCCTCCCCTTACTGTTGGAAACCAGCGCGTGCCTATTGCTGAATTGGATGAGGTATTATTTGTTTATCACATTACACAAAAATAACAAAATTATGATACATTTTCTCTGCAGTTTTACTTGTTTTTTTTTTGTACAGCTTACTGAATGGCATATTTTTTTGAAATTGACTGTAAACATTTTTCAAACTTTGCGCCAGGAACATATTTGTATCATGTTTGTTCATCGGCATGGTTTCGAAATACAGTGGTGTAATCCTTGGTTACGACTTGTATTTTGTGAAAATTAATTGGTATCTCTTCTTTTTTCCAAAAGAGTTGTACCACATAATGCGTTTATTTTAATGTGGATTGTTATTAGTAGCACTTAATAAAACTATATCATTACCTAAGCTATTACTTTCTTATCCTTTTCCAGATTGGTCAAATGGCCTTCGAGAATATAAAAGAGTTGAACAGGATTCAGTCAGTGGTATTCCAAACGGCTTACAATACGAATGAGAACTTATTAATCTGTGCCCCCACTGGGGCGGGTAAGACGAACATAGCTCTACTGACTGTGGTACATCAAATCAAGCAACATATTGAGAACAATGTTATTATGAAGAATAAGTTTAAGGTAAGGTTTTATCATTTTATTCTAGTTCTCTAGCAAAATAATAGGGACTATATTGACTCATTCAAATATATCTATAGTTTCTACAAATATTATAAAGTTTAAGAATCATTGCTCATTAAAGCGGCTCATTCGGCACTCACCTTGCACCGCCTCGTCGCTCGGCGTCCATTTCTTGTCGATAGGTACTACACGAATGGATGTCACGATATCACCACTAAACGTCCCGCACACAACCTGTCGACCCTACGCGATCAACGAATTAACGCCGAGTGGTCAAAGAGTGAACGCCGCTTAATAAATTTTTGAAGTAATGATATTTTTGAGCAGGCTGTTAATAATTAGCACGAGGACAGCGCGCAGTCCACTAGGGTCCCGCGCGTAGGCGCACGAGGCAAGCATTCGAGCAACGGCAGTGAGTTATCATTGAGTGGTCTACCCGCAGACTGCGCTTGAAGGACCTAAAACCGAGGCAATCTGGTGACGATACAGAGTTGGTGTAGTGAGCGCATGCACAAACAAAACCATATGAAGAACTAGTCTCAGAAGACGAGACGGTGCGAAGTGGGTGCCAGGTGGTTCTATTAAGCTGTGATCTTAAAAGTTTACGACGCCGAATTTTTACTCCGTGTTTTTTTTTAAATCGATCTTTTGTGTACTCTTAGACTTTCTTCTCTGCTCCATGATATGACCTTGGTTCGAGCCATGAGAAAAATCTGAATCTAAAAAAGTTCTCGCTTGACAGTCAAAATCAATCTTAAAGTAGTTCTTTCAATTATTTCAAGGCACCATAATCTCTCAGAAAATAACATACATGGTGTTCCATTTTTTACAGATTATCTACATAGCTCCAATGAAAGCTTTGGCATCAGAAATGACGGCGTCCTTCGGGCGGCGTCTTAAGGGACTAGGTATATCAGTGAGGGAACTGACAGGAGATATGAAACTGACCAAAACGGAAGTACAACAGACACAGATGATTGTTACAACGCCTGAGAAATGGGATGTTGTTACTAGGAAGGGAGCCAGTGAGTATTGAGGTTTTATTGAGTTATTTATAAATAATGTTAATATTAATAGAATAGGCACATTGATATATGACTGCATATGACTGCACGGTTGGCAACTGGCTGCCGCGCAACGATTCCCGCACGTAACAACTCTTTGTGTGATCCACAAATTGTTGTTCCGGGTCTGGGTGGGCTGTGTATGTGAAATTGTATGTTTGTAAACGCACCCACGACCAAAAAAAAAACTAGTGTGGTGCGTTTTTTTTTTAAAAAAGTGTACATATATATATCTTTATACAAGCAGCCACAAGGTAGACAAACGACCTGATAAAGGAAATATGCGTGTTGTTGTATTAACTCAAACCGAAACTTTAATATTCGCTTTTGAAGTTATAATAATCTTCTGACAATTACTAAATCCAATAAAACGATGAAATAAAGTGAAGAAGTCAGGATTTTTTAAGAAATACACTTCCATTTTAACTTAAAACTTACAAATAAGATTTTAAAATAAATTATTTATAATTTTTATTATCATTGCAGCTGACACGGAACTAGCATCTATAGTGAAACTGCTAATTATCGACGAAGTTCACTTGTTGCATGGCGACAGAGGGCCAATTGTCGAGGCGATTGTCGCACGAACATTGCGACAAGTCGAGTCAACGCAGAACATGATCCGAATAGTCGGTCTCTCAGCTACACTGCCTAACTATGTTGATGTGGCTAGGTAAGTTCGGCAACTTGTTTCGTAACATCAAATGAGTTACTTGCCTTTTGTGGGTTATTTAGGACTAGCTACTCTCGCGCGGTTTCACCCGCTGCTCTTCTCCATTTAATCGTAGCGTAATGTTTTATAGCCTATAGCACTCAGGAACATTGTAGCTATCTATCTATCAGTGAAAGGATTTTGGAAATCCGACCCGCGGTTCCGAACATTACCCCCTACATACAAACTTACAAATTTTACCTCTTTATAATATTAGTATAGATGAGCGGTGCTCGACTAATTTCAAGCCATACCGGGACCTGTAATAATGCCGCGAAACCAACTCATACCCCTTGCTTAGAAGTAGATAAGTACCGATAATCTATGGAAATTAGAAACGAAACAAATGAAAATTTCTGAAGGTCATCGATGAGTCACGTGATCAACAAATAAATTCCTGTACATTTGTTTCGTATTAAAGCGATAACGATTATTGATACATAACTAAGAGTTGCTCTCTCGAACAATTCACTTGTGTTAGCACAACTGAAAAGAATTTTTAGAGTAAAATGGACTTTCTTGCTCGTTCTTCTCCATTCGAATCTACACTTTGGAACGAGCACCTATCTTCGCTCACGACTTCAAGACTGACCACTATTATTCTGTTTTGACGTTAAAGTTTGATAATTTATAGAATCAGGCGTAACTTTGCGGAAATCCATGACATTAAATATTTAGTTTTTATATCCAGGCCTGCCTGTATTTTTGTCGCGGAATAAAAACTAAAGCCTGTATTTTTGTTCACAACAACAACAACAGTTTGACTTTGATTAAAAAGAAGAAAGTTTCTATATTCAAAACTGTATGGACATAATATGATATAATATTTTATTTTATATTTCTTACAGGTTTCTACGAGTGAATCCTAACATTGGTCTATTTTACTTCGACTCTCGGTTCCGTCCCGTGCCTTTAGAACAACAGTTTATTGGCGTTAAAGAAACTGGCAGCGGTGGAGGGGCACATCTTAGAACGGTAGGTTACATTTTTTGAGCTTACAGCTTGCCTAATGGTAAGCAACCGGTGTCGCCCATAGACACCCGCAATGGCGTTTCGGAGATGTGGGGTATGGTTGAATTAAGATTTGAGGTGGAAGGATTGTGCATTCGTTAGCACACTCAAATAGTCAAAAATCATTTATTTCAATTAGACCCCATCAGGCGGCTTTTGAACGTCAAACAAAATTTTAAAAATATACTTAACGTGTCAATCTTTTGGTCAGTCCTCTTAGTGAAGCTATTTACTCGCACGGAGAACTGTGGTTGTTTCACGCCAATTTTTGTGTTAGACTGTAGTATCGCTCTGGTAAGCCGGCCCATACGTGCCAAAGAATGGCTCTCCCACACTTGATAGTTTGTAATGTAAAACTTCTCTTGTTTGTGTAAACTGTGTACTTTTGTCGATAGGCAAATTCTTAACACCCTCTATAAAATCCACAGATGCAAACAATGAACGAGATATGCTACGACAAGGCTGTCGAAATGGTTCAAAAAGGCCACCAAGTGATGGTATTCGTGCACGCACGTAACGCCACACATCAAACGGCTATGATACTTAAAGAAATTGCTCAAAAGAAAGGCCACTTGAAACATTTCGAGCCTGAGGATTCGGGCGCTTTCCTTAAAGCTAAGAAGTCTATAAGTAGCAGCCCTAATAAGCAGCTTGGTGAATTGTTCGCGAGTGGATTTGCCTGTCATCACGCTGGTATGCTGAGGAGTGATCGGTGAGTTTTTTTTTCTGATATCTTTGGTGGTATTCTTTTTCAGCCTTGGTGAATTTTCGAACAATTAATTAATTTTAAATGTTTTAAATTATAATTATTAGTAGGTTAGTAGATAGTTAGTAGTTCTTTATAAATAGTTTCCTATCTATTCAATTCAAAATTTAAATTAAATCATGATTTCAGTCATTGCCACGATGATATACTTCATTATATATAAATTAATTTTGTTGCAATCTCATTCAAACATCAAAGGAAAATATCGATATATTGTAGAAACCGTCTTGCTGTATAGCAACAACTCGAAACCAATTCTATTGTACTGAGATAACTGGCCACTTTTAAAGAAATTAATTTAAAAAATGCTACACGTTGTTTGAACGGAATCTTACTTTAATTGATTTAATTCATATATTTAACGACACTTCGCAATGAAAAACGCGCTTTTTGGTTACAGAAATATGGTTGAAAAATACTTTGCGGAAGGGTTTATAAAAGTCTTAGTTTGTACCTCTACGCTGGCGTGGGGTGTCAACTTACCAGCTCATGCTGTTATTATAAGAGTAAGTATAATATAAATATATTATTTTTAATAATAAACGCCAAGAAAATTATTTCTAGAATTGCCATTTACACATAAAAATGTTATAAAATAATGAATGAATATGATACAACTGTAGTTCATCACCCATTTATCAACTTTATTAAGAGTGTAATGCAGTGAATTGTTTAAAAAAATTAAGACTCACTAATCTAAATCTGAATAATTGTTGAAGCAACCAAAATCTTGCCAAAAATTAATAAATCATCATTTATTCATTGTAACAACAGTTCTGACAAGCAATTTTAACACTTATATCGTTATTCACAGGGTACAGAAATCTACGACCAAAGTCACGGTACGTTCGTAGATCTTAGTATACTGGATGTGCTACAAATATTCGGTCGAGCGGGTCGACCGCAGTTCGATACGTCTGGAACTGGCATCATTATAACTACACACGACAAACTCACACATTACCTGAAGTCCATGACGAATCAGTTCCCTATTGAGAGTAACTTCATCAATCTCCTGGCTGATAATTTGAATGCTGAGGTATGTATTTATTGTGTATTTAGTCATTCTTGTTTTTTTATGTGATAGAATACTAGGATGATTTAATCATTGGATGATTTTCATAAGTCAGAAGTCATTGGATTTCTCCCGCCCAGGGTTAGGCGAGAGAGAGTGTCAGACTCTTACTGATAAACCCCCTCCCCCCCCCCCCCGTTCCTTCTCCTGCTCTGGGCCGAGGTCGCAGTGCCTCATTGCGCTTACCCCGCAACCCCGAAAATAGAATACCTTATGGCAAGCAATCCTTAAGCGCCGCCCATGGACAAACGGAGGAGTTACGAGCTGAACTTTGGGGATTAGGTTTTGTGGTTTTGGAGATTTAAGGTACTGGGTTAAACCCACTCACACGTCGAAACATAACGCTGTGGTTGCTTCGTGGCGGTTTTCTGTGAGGCGCGTATGTGTGTTTGCTCACTCCGGTCGAGCCGAATTCAAATTTTAACCTAAGCCTTTTTTGGATATTCATTTTACTTATATGATCCTGTCTGTATGTTCGTATTTTTATTATATTCCAGGTTGCTCTGGGTACAGTAACAAACATAGATGAAGCTGTGGAATGGCTCAGTTACACGTATCTTTTCGTCAGAATGAGGATCAATCCCCAGGTAAGTTACAAAAGAAAGAGTTATAGTAAATAGTAAAGATTTTAACTCTATTACTGATAATCGTTAATGTTTTCTAAATATGGACTATATTAAGCTTTAGACTTCAAACTATATTTTAAATCAAACTTTTTGAACCAGTCCATCTATTCAAAGATTCGACTGGAACGAAACGGCAATTACAGGGGAAACAGTTGAACCTATTATGTTTTTTGTTTTGTTAATTCATCTTTCTGACTTCTCCTGCCCTGGTTGGGCTGAGAAGGAGTGTCAGACTCTTACTGACTAAAATCCACCCTGTTCCTTCACTAACTCCGCGACGGGGCAGCGGTACAAAACCCCCTTGTAGTGTTTGTATCTCCAAAAAGGTCATACTAACATTGTCTCATGTACACTAGAGGTCGAAGTATAGCTGTCAATCTGTCACTTCTGTCAGTCTGTCACTGACACTGGTTAAGGTTGGACTAGTGCTGCTTGCGATACAAGTGTAGTGGTGAGCCAGTGCATTACCAGTTTTACTGTAAAGACGAGGGTCCTTACACCCCTGTTCCTGCGCTTGCTCGATGCTAAGGCCGTGGTACCTTATTGCGGTAGCCCCGGTTAACATGTCCCGTCTGTGGCCTATTGGCTGATAGTACATTTTATGGTAATTCGTTGGTCTAATAAACTCATTTCTAATGTTCCAGGTATACGGTCTAACCTACACAGACGTGCAAGATGAACCTATGCTAGAGACAAAACGTCGCGAGCTCATCACTGCCGCTGCCATGCAGTTAGACAATACCCATATGATTAGATTCAATGAACGGACTGGACAGCTTAATATTACTGGTAAGTTTCATTCAAGTCTACTTATTTCCAAGCGGACACCGGTGTCCTCTATAGCGTCATTGCCTATAAGCATTTTCATCGCTTATAACCCTAATTATAAACCGGTATTTTTTTTATTTATTTATTTAAACTTCATGCACAATGGGTACATAGGCGGACTTAATGCCTAAGGCATTTTCTACCAGTCAAACCTTGGGTGATGCAGAGATGAGCCAATGGTCGGTGCAAGAAGCAAGCAAACGGCTTAACTTTAAATCTGATAAGACATATTATAAAACATAATAGGTATTATAAAACATAATATGGAATTAAAGAGATTAAATGAAAGAGTTTATGTTTTTTGAGCAAATTCTAGATCATTTTTTCACGAATCATTTGAAATGTAGATTATCCTACTAATACTATAAATGGGAATGTTAGTATGAAGATAAGTACTCTGGATTGGTGACACAACACGCAGGGGAAGCCGCGGTCGAAAACAATTTATATATATTTGTATCGTTTTTAACACCTTTATGGATACGGTACCTTGGTGAAAATGTAAAATCCAGAAAAGTAATATATTTACCGGATTTACCGGATTTTTTTGGTTACAGAAGGCCCAGTCCTTCCCCTTCCCTAATCCCTCCCCAGTTCCTAAATCTCCAAAAGGTCGGTAACGCACTCGTAACTCCTCCGTTGCGGGTGTCCATGGGCGGCGCTGATTGCTTACCATCAGGTAATCCGTCGGCTCATTTGCCGACCTATTACATTAAAAAATATATATATATTTTTTTCCTAACAGACTTGGGTCGCACAGCTAGTCACTACTACATAACGTGTGAGACAATGGAGGTGTTTAACTCGATGGTACGCAAGTCTATGACGCAGGGATACGTGTTGGAAATGCTAACCAGGTGCTCAGACTTCCAACAGCTAAAAGTAAGTTTAAATTTTTATGACTAAACTAGCTGACCCGGCAAACTTCGAACTGTCTCAAATATAACTAAGACTGCTAGGTTGGCGCCGCAAAGTGTCGCGGCCTCGACTCCCGCACGGAAGTACTCTGTGTAAGCAACAAATTGTTGTTCCGGTTCTGGATGTGATGTGTATGTGAAATTGTATGTTTGTAAACGCATTCACGACATAGGAGAAAATCCTTGTGTGGGGCAACATTTTTTTTTTTAAATCATATCCGACAAAAAACTACCTTTGTGATCGCCGAGATTTCATGTTTTCGTCAATATGTTTATTGCGCTGATTGATTGAAAACGCATGTGCCTTGGAAACGGCCCTAACGTTTTCGCTGAAATTTAATACGTGAGAGTTTTGAATGAGGGTCCGCTAGTATTTTATATTATTTTTTTACTATATACCTCAATACTATGTATGTACCTAAAATAGTTATTTGTTTTATTTCTGTTAGGTTGGTAAACCTAGCGACGAATGCGCACCGTAATGTAGGTGTGACATGCGTGGGCTGCGTAAAGCGCGTTTCCGCCTATATTCAAAAAATAAATTAGTGTGCCACAGATTAGCGAGTTTGATTCTCGTATTGCATCGTTCCTTTTTCCCGCGCAAATACATAATAATTTCCTATGCAAAATGGCATAAAGTCTAATTTTAATTATCTCTTTCCAGGTGAGAAAAGAAGAACTAACCGAGCTATGGAACCTCAAGGACCAGTATTGTGAGCTTCGTATTGAAGACGCGCCCGAAGATATACATTGGAAGATTAATATACTACTGCAGACTTATCTGTCTAGGGGACGCGTCAATGGATCGTCACTGCAGTCTGATCTGAATTACATTAGCCAGGTTTGTATTGATTTTATACATTTATATACATATACATAGTAGCTATTCTCGCGCGGTTTCACCCGCTGCTATCTATCAGAGAAAGAATTTTGGCAATACGACCAGCCGTTCCAAAGCTTACCCCTTACATACTAACTTACAAACTTACGAATTGTACCTCTTTATAATATTAGTCTCTGGCAATGCCAACGTAACACTATGCTACATAAATTAATTGTCTCATCAGGTGTAGTTTCTTATTATAGCTTATTATGTAGAACAAATTTCCGTGCATTTAGGTGTTTTTGCCATACCTATTACTGGAAACAACTATAGAAACTCACACATACGTCCCATTAAAACAATAAATTTTCCGTGGTGTTTGGTGAATGGGCCAAAAGCCTAGTTATTCAGTCTCTTTTGTGCTTTTAAGGCTGAAGTCATTATGTCTCCTGCATTAAATTTATCGAGAGAAATGGAAACTATTTAGTTTTTTTCTTTTCCTCAAATAATACCTTCTAATTAATTTCGTTGTGGGATCCAAGACAGTCATTCATGTCCCTGGAACTTCAGAGTTCCGGTGTTTTCATAGTTGTATCTATCCACAAAAAAAAACATTTCGTTTATTATTAATTTAATATATCAACAGAATGCCGTCCGTATAGTCCGAGCGCTCTTCGAAATAACCCTGCGCAAGAACAATGCGTATATGGCAGGCCTATATCTTAAAATGGCGAAAATGTTGGAGCTTCAACAATGGGACTTCTACAGTGACATGCGACAGTTCAACTGTTTCACTATCGAGACGTTGAAACACATCGAGTATCCAATGTTGAAACCTGACCAGATTCGAGATATGGATTGGAAGGAAGTTGGTGAGTGGGTATTTTAGAATTTGTATAACATACTTGATTAATAATAAACGAATTAATATTGTTTATCGGCTTAATCTGGTGAATTTTTTACGAAATATCTGGTTAAGTTTAAAGCCAAGCTAAGAGTCAACTCAGTTCGCTACGCCGAGTCTTTTACGTCGTACGTTACGCAATGCTTTTCTAATGAATATGAACCCTTGGCGCGGCTTGAAATCAATCGAGTTATCTCGCCAAACCGTAGCGAAGCTGATAACCATAATTAGTTAGCTCATTTAGTAAAGTCGTCCATTTATTTAAAACATCAACTTACTCACGTGAATTAACTGAGTTAAGCTCTACTAGTTTCAACTCACAGCGGGAATCTTAGGCTAAGAACTCACGGAGCGATTTTCGCCCGCGTCCGCTGCGGTTGCGGGCCCGCAGCTTCTGTAGAATTCAAATATTTATATAAAAAATTAAAGCACATTTCACGACGCGATTTACGCCCGCGGTGTATGCGGTTGTATGCGGCTCCCGCTGTACCGGCGGGCAACTAGTAGAATCGCGCGGGCCGCGGTTACCCGCAGCCTCGGCGGGTGGCACCCGCGCGCTTTGCGATCGGTTAGCGAGCCACCGCGGGGGCCGGCGGGTCTTCTGTGAAGTAAATATAACGCAACGGCTCGTTTCTGGTGTGTGTCCATCTCGGTCTGGACCTCAACTGATCGTTAACCGCCCGTTTTGCAATCTTGCGCCCGCAAACGTGGCGGGCGATGATCGCAACCGCGGCGGCTGTGTAACCGCGCAAATAACCGGTCTCGTGAGTTTGGAAATAAAACCGCAGTTCCGCTACCGCGGCGGGCACGGTTCAAAATCGCTCCGTGAGTTCTTAGCCTTATTCATTAATTGCGTTCGCGTTACGGCGACGTCGCACAACCGACAGTTTTGTGACCCGTTGCGATTTAAAACTAGTTAAGTTTTTCTCAGTTCATTCATGTATAAGTCGTTATTTTCTATAAATTTAGTATGTCTCACCATAATTACTATTCAAAATTATATCTTACATCTTTTTCTGAGCGTCGCCACAATCCTACCACACCTTTACCATGGCATTTTAAACAATAATTTTAACTCCCTTTTCACAGGCGATTTGATACGCAACCCTAAAAACGCCCGTCACCTAAAGAAGTGTGCTGATGAGTTTCCGCTGTTGGAAATGGAGGCCAGCCTACACCCGATCACACGAACTGTGTTGAGGATACGGCTGTCTATTACACCTAACTTTAAGTAAGTTTAAAAAAAAATACGTTGCCCAGTACTAGCTTTGTCTCTTGTACTGTGGGTAGTTTTACAAACATACCATACAAATTCACCTACACAAGCCACAGAGACCCAATACAACAGTTTGTGAATCACACAACTACTTACCCGCCAATGTTTTCCTCAAATATGTCTTCCAAGTTCTTAATTTTTTTTTTAATGACAGGGCTAACGAATCTATGGATTACCTTATTGTACGCAATCAGTATCTGTATGTGAAACTGATTTAAAAAGAGTAACCATGGAGTTTCTTGGTCGTTCTTCTCCATCGGAATCTACACTTTGGAACGAGCAAATAGCTTCACTAAGAGGACTGACCGATAGACTAACACCAGGTATCGGAAAGGCCGATCAATGTTAAAATCAATTTAATCTCTTGTCAAGTCATCTGATTGGTTGACTGAATTATCAACAACCAATCAGATGACTTGACAAGAGATTTGACACCTACTTAGTTGATTTTAACATTGATCGGGCTTTTCGAAACCGGGCATGATACTATATCTCCAAAATTTTGTTTGACTTTCAAAGATGCCTGTAAGAGTCTAATTGGAATAAATGATTTTTGACTTGACTCAGTGCCGCCCATGGTGACACGCAACAATGGAGGAGTTACGAGTGCGTTGTCGACCTTCTCGGAATTAGGGTTTAGAAGATTTAGGGATTGAGAAAAGTGAAATAATTGGGCCTCCGGTAACCTCACTCACATGGCAAAACAGAAACCTGTAGTGGTTTCGCGCCGGTTTTCTGTATTAGTGTGTCGAATTCTTAAACTATAATAACAAATACAATCTTATCAATCAAAACAGTGTACTAAGAATTTATTTAAATTTCCAGATGGAATGACAAATACCACGGTAAAGCGCCCGAAGCATTCTGGATCTGGGTTGAGGACCCCGAGACCGATATAATGTACTACCACGAATATTTCCTCATTACTAAGAAACAGGTAACACACAATATATACTTAACCTACCTGACGTCTTAGCACATACATGTGCGCATAATATTAGACCTTTCCGGGAGTCTGGTGCGAGATAGATAATAGGGTAGTTTCCTAGTTCAAAAATAAATTGATTCGACGTTTCAATACAATAAGATATTTAAAAATAACTATACTTTAATTCATCGATCGATCGATACACTAAGTTTCAGATATTTTTTAGCTAATTATTAATAAATAAGTAAGCTATTAGACGCAAAAATACTATGACGTCATAACCCAGTGTTTTGACATTTGGATAAAAGTATTGAATTTGACTAGTTGGAAACTACAGTCATAGCATTTTTGCGTCAAATTACTTACTTATTTCTTAATAATTATCGATCGATGACTAAAGTTTTGTTATTTTTCAATATTTCATTGTATTGAAACGTCGAATTAATTTATTTTTGACCTAGGAAACTATCCAATTGTTATTTTGTATGTGTTGATTAACTAATATTCTTTTTATTTCAATTCAAATTATATTTTTGTAAGAAAGAGTGTTACTGTAGTAAATTAAGTAGATTTTATATTATATAAATATAAATAAATATTTTTATAGGTGGTAACAAACGAACCACAGGAATTGATAATCACGATACCGATCAGTGAGCCTCTTCCCCCACAATACTACATCCGAGCGACTTCAGAAAGGTAAAATAAAGTCTATTATTTTATTTAAAAACTCTCAAAAAAAAAATGCTATCGTTGTCATCAAAAAATATTAACTATTTGTGTGTTTCCAGGTGGTTAGGATCCGAAAGCGTTTTACCACTCACATTCCAGCATTTGATCTTGCCTGAAACTCATCCGCCTCACACAGGTAAAATATACGTGGTTTTTTATAACCTTAATTGGCGTTGTTTTATTCCGAAAAGTAATGGATCTTTGAATCTTTTATCCTTGTTAGTTGTATCTGTACCATATAATGGTACCATATAGTATTACGATTACTAACAGATAATATTAATATATTTAGCTGTCTTGGCGAACTCCGTACCACTTCAAAATCAACTGACGACAAAGATGATGTTATGTTTTATATCTACCTATGTACTTGAGAGCAACTCGAACGGGAAACAAAGAAAATTTACATTATTTATAACTAGCGGCCCGCCCCCGCTTCCCCGGGTCCAACTATCTCGCTATCAAAGGGTCACATTTTCCTAATCTTCCCCTATACTTTTCTAATATTTTATTTCATAAGAACCTTCTCCTGACAATAATAAACACAACAAAGAAAGAATTAGCAAAATTGGTCCAGGCGTTGTTGAGTTATGCGCTTACCAACACATTTTGCGATCCATTTTTATATATAACTAGCGGCCCGCCCCCGCTTTGCACGGGTCCAACTATCTCGCTATCAAAGTGTCACTTTTTCCTAAACTTCCCCTCTACTTTTCTAATATTCTCTTTGATAAGAACCTTCTCCTGACAATAACAAACACAACAAAAAAAGAATTAGCAAAATTGGTCCAGGCGTTGTTGAGTTATGCGCTTACCAACACATTTTGCGATCCATTTTTATATATAAGAAGATTTACTCGGAATTTTTCTACAATATATCAATCTCTTAACTTTTTAATAATAATGCACAGCATTTTTTAATAATAATAATAAGAATAAAGAAGATATAGTCCCCAATTTTCTCCACAGACCTCCTAGAACTGCAACCGCTACCAGTGACGGCTTTAAACAATCCAAACTACGAAATGCTTTACAACTTCAGCCACTTCAACCCAATACAGACGCAAATATTCCACTGCTTGTATCACACCGACCATAATGTACTGCTGGGCGCGCCCACTGGGTCGGGCAAGACGATTGTCGCTGAAGTAGCCATGTTTAGAGTGTTTAATCAGTATCCTAATTGTAAGGTAAGAAAATCTATACAGTATTTACTGTAGATCGTGGCTTATATGAGTGCAGTTTTGGGCAATTATAGCGAGATTGTCCCATTTGTTTACCTTATAAGCCGGACTTTTGAGAATTTAATTTTTTTATTTTTATTTCAACGACCTAAGAAGTAATGACACTTCCATTTTTGTGCTTTCTTGATCTGCCTGAAAGGTTTGTTTCTTAAATAAGAAAAAATAAATATGCCACTGCACGCAAAATTTGTATGACGTCATAAATTGCTATACTAAATTTTTATTTGACTAACCTGTGGATCATGTGTTTTCTGTTGTTTCTTATATACCGGCAGACCCGAGGTTAAATTAAAACTAACGCAATAATAGTAGTACGAAGCTGAAGCCACATTTATCTTATCAATCTAAAAATTGTAATGTTTATCTTACAGGTGGTTTACATAGCACCCCTTAAAGCTCTTGTGAAGGAAAGAATAAAGGATTGGAAAGTACGGCTGCAGGAAAGGCTCGGAAAGCAGGTCGTTGAGTTGACAGGTCAGTGAACTTCAGTGTTTTTTTTATTGTATTGCATATGTCGTTTGCAATACCTTTATTTGCCGTGATGCACATCACTGTAGGTAAATAAAAGGTATTGAAAGTCAAAGTCAAAATCATTTATGCCACCTAAACCATAAATAGGTACTTTTGAATTGTCTAAATAGAATAATAGTCTGTCAGACTGTTCGTCAGTGAAGCTAAGTGCTCGTTCCAAATTGTAGTTCGAATGGATAAGAACGAGCAAGAAACTCCATGGAGTCGATCCAAATACTCCATAACAGTAGAGTTACTCGCTTTTGAACATAAGTCGAGTTATGTAGTATTTGCTAATACTACATTTTACATTTTAAAAATCGTTACAACAATTTTGGTTGTCATATTCTAAACATTATATGAAATTGTATAACTACTTACTAGCTTTTGCCCGCAACTTCGTTCGCGTGGAATAGTGACTTCCGGCAGATTTTTGGTTTAAAAACTATCCTATGTCCTTTCTCGAGTTCCAAACTATGTCTATACCAAATTTCACAAAAATCGGATCAGTAGTTTAGGCGTGAAGAAAAGACAGACAGACAGAGTTACTTTTGCATTTATAAAATTAATATAAATAAACTCGGATAAGAGAAAATTCTCGTTAGAAGTAATAATTTAATAAAAAAAAAAATTCGCGAACTTCACTTGCGCGATGTAGGACTTGTGACGCCATCTGTTGAACATTGTCGTTACTATGTGCGTTCCCAAAACAAAATATTTTGGACATAACATTTAAATTTCAGGTGACGTATCCCCCGACATTCGAGCGATCCGTAACTCCCACGTGATTGTAACGACTCCTGAGAAATGGGACGGTATCAGTCGATCCTGGCAAACCAGAAACTATGTTAGAGACGTTGCACTCATAGTTATTGATGAAATACATCTACTGGGTGAGGATAGAGGACCCGTTTTAGAAGTTATCGTGTCCAGGTGAGATTGAGTTAAAGAGTATATTTTTGTATGCTATTGCTTCACTGATCAGAGTCTAGACCTAGGCCGATTTTTTTTTATGTGATAGGTCGGCAAACGATCAGACGGATTACCTGATGGTAAGCAATCAGCGCCGCCCATGGACACCCGCAACGGAGGAGTTACGAGTGCGTTGCCGACCTTTTAGGGATTTAGGGATTTGGAGATTTAGGGATTGAGGAGGGATTGGAGGAGGGGAAAGATTGGGCCTCCGGTAACCTCACTCACACGGCGAAACACAACGCTGTGGTTGTTCCACGCCGATTTTCTGTGAGGCCGTGGTATCACTCGTATACTCGTGGTATCGGACCGACCCATTCGTGCCTAAGCATGGCTCTCTCACGCTGATTATTGGCATTATTCTATTAAAAATTTCTAAACAGTAATTTGGTTCTTCTTATGTAGAGCAAGACTATATAACTACTGTGACAAACTCTTGTTTCTATTTAGGTGTGACAGATACACAGGTTTATTAAACTGCCGTTGTAAAGAAACTTCTTTCATTGTAATTTTGTTGCATTTCAGAACAAATTTCATAGAGTCTCACACGTCTCGGCGATTGCGTATCATCGGTCTGTCCACTGCTTTAGCCAACGCCAAGGATCTTGCGAACTGGCTCAATATAGGAGAAATGGGATTGTACAACTTTAGACCTTCAGTACGACCTGTGCCTTTGGAGGTATGTGATATTGTTTCTTAACTCAATTCATTTTGTAAGGTTAGTAACACGCTTATTAGAAATTCTTAAAAAATTCTGTTAACATTAGTAAATTTTTTTCAAACACAACTAGCAAGATAAAAGTTGTATTAAATGCTAATTACTCTTCATCGTAATACATTTTGAACTAAAAAGAATATTACCTTCTTATAACGTAACAAACCTACTTGCGCAAGTGCAAACAGTTTGCGCAATGATCCGCAAAACTAAACTTTATAACAACTAATTAAGTCATAATATTCTATCTTACAGGTACACATATCAGGTCACCCTGGCCGACACTACTGTCCGCGTATGATGACTATGAACAAACCAACGTTCCAAGCCATACGCACTCACTCTCCTTGCGCACCTGCGCTGGTTTTCGTGTCTAGTAGGCGACAGACTAGGTAAGGAGCATGAATTTGTTTAATAAATTACATTGACTATGAATATTTTTAAAAATGCTTTTCCTTATTTTACTTTATTTTGTCCCGAAACGTCTCATATTTATTATTCCGTTCTTATCATAGCACCGCTTTAATTGAGAATACACAAATCAAAGCAGTTTGTTATCTCTATTGCGTGCTCATACATATATTGATTTAGTAGTAGTAAGATTCAGTCATTTACCGCTACAAACTAAAGACTTCTACATCACAAACATTCAGTTTTAAACATATCAATGTTCTATAAGTTTTTATACACGAATTAAAATATTTATTATTATTATTATTTATTTAATCCTTATGGCCCCTTTTCTCTTAATTGATCTCATCCTCTTTCTTATTAAGCAAAATTTTTTTTCAGATTAACGGCTCTAGATCTAATCGCATACTTAGCTGCGGAAGACAATCCGAAACAATGGCTACACATGCAAGAATCGGAGATGGAACAAATTTTAGCCAACATTCGAGAATCGAACCTAAAACTTACACTAGCATTCGGAATCGGTATACATCATGCTGGTCTCCATGAAAGAGATAGGACTACTGTTGAGGAGTTATTTATTAATCAAAAAATTCAGGTTGGTTGCAAACTAAATAATGCATACTTAAACCACTCATTCTTCAAACCACTAATACTCTTAAAAAGCCCAACAAAGATATCAAAAATGAAAAAAATATATATTAATATTTGATTATTATAATTTACAAATAACTATTTGTCTATATAAATATAAATATGCACCCCACTTTCCCAGGTACTAATCTGCACTGCCACACTAGCGTGGGGCGTGAACTTCCCCGCTCACCTGGTGGTTATCAAGGGCACAGAGTACTATGACGGTAAACAGAAGAGATACGTCGACATGCCCATCACTGATGTCCTACAAATGATGGGCAGAGCTGGACGTCCACAGGTAATAAAGTTTTAAGTTTTCTAATGTAAACTAAGTTTGCGCAAGCTGTAGCTGTTTTGCGCAGGTTTGCGCAAGTTTTTGTAAAATTTTGCGCAACATATTAATCATCTATGGTTTACTTTAAATGATTCTAGCTTGACCGATAAAAATATTTTTTAAAGTTAAAAAAAAGGAAAGGTTTGGCTCTCTTTTTTTTGTTTGTTATTTCATGACATTGTAAATTAAGACAACGTAGTTACCTAAACATTTGATTATTTCCATTTCAGTATGACAACGAAGGAGTAGCCGTAGTGTTAGTTCACGATCAGAAGAAGAACTTCTACAAGAAGTTCCTTTACGAACCTTTCCCAGTGGAGTCCAGCCTACTCGAAGTGTTACCTGACCATCTTAATGCTGAAATCGTAGCTGGTAAGTTGACACAATAAAATAAACAACTGTTTAACTTGAAATTATTTGTGTCTGTGAAATTGCGGCGAGCGAATTAGGAGTTTACAAATTTACATACACTCCTTATTTAGGAGTGTATGTAAATTTTTCATCGACAAATACCGCATATTATTTCTTTTAGCCTTCATAAATGATGAATAGTAATAAAACTAAAAAAATATTATTAATGTTAAATCATTGAAGTGCAATAACTACAACAAAATTTGTCGCAAACACGGCTGGGTAATAAAAAGGTTTTGATGAATCCGGAAGACGTCAAGGTTTTTTTATGGCATAGAGCTCCAAACTAACACCAGAATCATCTGGTGATGGTAAGCAAATGGCGCCGCCCATGAACACTCGAAACATCAAAGGGGTTATGATTGCGTTACCGGCCTTTTTACAATTGGGGATTGGGGACGAGGGAAGATAAGGCCACTAGTCTTGGCCTGACCCACTAATGCAATGAAATCTCTCCATCGATTGTTATCCCCAGGTACGGTACAAACAAAACAAGATATCCTAGACTACTTGACGTGGACATATTTCTTCCGTCGCCTACTCAAGAACCCGTCCTACTACAACTTGGAGAGCGTGGAACCTCAGGATGTCAATTATTATCTCTCTAACTTGGTGCAGAGCTCGTTGGACGCCCTGGCCAATGCTAACTGCTTGGAAATTGAAGAGGTAAGATGTTTTGCAAATATTAACAAATTTTTGTGCAATTTGTAAGCCTTTGTCAGTCCTGAAAACGAATCCGATTTTCTAAATAAATAGGAACTAATTTTTATTAATGTTAGTGTAGAAACACAGGACAGTTATATAAGGAAAAAATCTTTAATTTATTTTACAAAAAATTAGCTAAACTATATTATTTACTAGCGACCCGTCCGATGGATACATTTAGTGTAAAGTACTAAATATATCCATTATTTAATGGATGTTATTATACCTAAAACATTCCTCTTCAACCACTCTATCTATTAAAACAACTGCATCAAAATCTGTTGCGTAGTTTTAAAGAGAAAGCGACTTTGTTTTGATTACCATTTATTTAATATTGATTTACTATGTAGTGAATATTTATTCATGCACAACACACATGCAGTAAATGTGAATACAAAATACTGAAATAGAGGTACATAGATACTGACTTTCATATCATATTTCCCTTCTTAATATTGCTCATTTATTGATGATTTATTATTCATTGATGAATGACTTTAATTCTGTACAAAAGCTTTTTGATTATACCCTTATTGAACTGTATCTTAGTATATTATTTATTCTCTTCTTATTTTGCAGGATCTTCGCACAGTCCACTGCACATGGATGGGTCGTATCGCCTCATACTACTATCTCTCCTACAAAACGATGGCTCACTTTACACGCAACTTACACAACAATATGAATATTGATGACTTGCTTCGAGTACTGGCGGACAGTGAGGAGTACGCCACACTACCAGTGAGACATAACGAGGACCTTCTTAATGGGTGAGTGAGACAACATCCACGTCTAGGCAAACCTAGTGTACCCTCCAGCTAGATGGACTGACGATATCTGTGACGGTGGCTGTGCTGCTTCGATGAGAAGAGGCTTATTTCCAGCAGTGGACGAATTCAGGCATATGATGATGATGAGACAACATATTTTAACTAGCTAATGCTGCTGATGTTATAATAACGACTAAAACATATATTGGTAGGAATAGTAATAGAGAATACGTGTTTAATAATAATTCCAGCCATAACCCCTTATGGCTGCAAGGGGAATTATGTAAAAACGGGGTGATTTTTAGTTAGTAAGAGTCTGACACTAACTTTCGCCCCACCCAGGTTATTATCTACTATAGTTCCATATCTACTCAGTACAAATCTTGTAGTCGATTCTCCACATAAAGTAATAACGGAGAAACTTCAAACTACCATCATTCACTACAAGCTTTGGCCCACATGGTATTATCATTAAAAGCAGTTTAGGTGTTAATCCGGAATCGAAATTTAAACCTAATCGGTCCAGCCGTTTTAAGGTGAAAATATTACAAACATATATTCTCACAATCTGACATTTATTATTATTAGTCTAATCATAAACTAGATTATTATTACCCTGATTTCTTTTCAGCGAACTCTCCCAACAATGTCGGCTACCCGTTGACCCTCTAAGCCTTGATTCTTCCAATGTAAAGGCTTTCCTGCTACTACAAGCTCACATGACAAGATTAGTACTACCCAACACTGACTATCTGACGGACACCAAGTCGGTTCTAGATCAAACTATAAGGATTCTACAGGTAAGATTTGGTATTTAAACCTTAATTAAATTGAATAAAATTGGCTTTTGTTTGAGGTTGAGTTTGAAGAGTTTTATGGGTTTTTGGCAAATGCGTTATCTTGTTATTTGGCAAATTATAGATGCACTTAATCGGCCTTATTACAAAACAAGGTTTTACTTTAGAACTAAACCATTGAGCCAGATTTTGTATTTCGAATTGAAGGTAGATGACAATAAGATTCAAAATTCAAAACCCGACTCAATCGTTTAAACCTGGACTAAAGATAAATCTTGTTTTTTAATAAAGGGGAATTGGTTTAAAATTTTATTACTTGAACACGGCAAACGCGTCAAGCCACGCCCCCATAAACGTATCATCTAATAAGAAAGCGCTAATGTAATCAGTATATCATGTAGCTTTCGTACCTTTTCTACGCTTCGTTGGTCAAGTCAAGGTCAGTTTGGAAGTAGAGCGGGCAAGATCGGATCATTCATCGTGTGCAATCAAAAATTTAGTTAGCACTGAAATAGTGGACCTATTTAGTAGAGTACAAAATAAAAAACTATATTAAAAACAAATAATTTATAAATTTGGGCTCTTTTATACAGAAGCACTATCTGACTGAATATTATGATGCCTTAGATAGATAGCTAACGTGTTGCCCCTAATTAGTTTTTCTCCTGTGACGTGGGTGCATTTACAAACATAAAAATTCACGTGCACATCACTGGAATGGAGCCCGCGACACGTTGCACAGCAACCAGTTGCCTAGGCACTACGTCAATCGTACAGTCAAAAATATGTAAATTATATTAAAAAATAACTAAAAATTGGATTTATTCAACACGGGTTTGCATAATTGGGAGTGTAGTCACCACTTTATGTATTTTTTTTATCCAAGAAGACACTACTTCTGTCCTGTCTTATCCCTAAAATACGCTAATAACTGTTAATGTTACAGGCAATGATAGACACATCAGCGGAAAACGGCTGGCTCTCAGTCTGTCTATCCTGTCAAATGTTGATGCAAGGAATAGTCCAAGCAAGATGGCCGACTGAATCCCCTCTCCTAACCTTACCACACATAGATTCTCAACATTTATACATATTCTCTAAAATGGCAAACGATACACACAAGCCGTGTAATATGCTGAATGGATTAAAAGTTGTCTGTATGAGAAACTATGAGCTGCTTGCCAAGTACATGAGGAGGGAGTTTGAAGAGAATCAAATTGAACAGATACACAGGGTGAGTTTTATTTTCTATTATTATATTAAGTGTTATGAAGTTAGACGCGATTTTTTTTAAATTTCATGTGTCGGCAATCTAGCTGACGGATTACATGTTGGTAAGCAAGCAGTCAGCGCCACCAATGGACACTCGTGATTCCAAAGGAGTTAGATACAGCTCTCGCTAAACTTTGTGGCCGCCCTGAATATAGTCGCGAGTCCGAACTTGCGCATGGTACAGTCGAGTGGTCAATACGTAATTAACCTATAAGTATATACGTAATCAACCAGTATTAAAAATGTAAGAAAACGAAAATTGGTTGATTACGTAGTGCCCATTCGACTGCACCATGCTTAAGTTCGGACTTGCGACTATATTCAATGCGGTCACAAAGTTTGGCGCGGGCTGTACTACAAGTGCGTTACTGGCTTCTTGTGGGTTATTAGGGATTTGAGGATGGGAGAGGGAAAGGATTAGGCGTCCGGTAACCTCACTCATACGGCGAAACACAACGTAATTGTTGCTTCACGCCTGTTTTCTGTAAGGCCGTGGTATCACTCCGGTCGAGCCGACCCATCCCTGCCGAAGCATGGCTCTCCCACACTTACTCCCAGATTGGTTTTGTGAACATAATTCATTTTTAGCTTAGTCATGATTCCTATGCTAGAGATCAAAATTTTATTTTATTGTTTAAATTCGGCTTCAAATTATGTATGTCAAAGCAAAATGTTTTGAAATCACATAATGTGTACATTCATTATCATTGTATTTCATTTAGTTTCTTGCCTATACGAATAAGTCTAAACATTAAGAGGCAATAAATTATATTGACAAAATGACACAGTTAATAAACGTTTATATCATTATGACATATGAATGTATACAGCATCAGAAAATAATAATATAAAAAGTTTTTCCTAAAATATTTTACTTTTTTCAGGCTATATGTGACATGCCGACTTTGGACGTAAAACTTAGTGTCCGTGGTCTATGGTTTGACGGAGAAGGAGAACAGGACAAATTAGTACGCCAACCTCCCGGTAGAGACGAGTGGTTGCCCCTTCATGCTGATCAGGTAGAAAATATTGATGATTTATTTCTTACTTATATTAGCTGACCCAGCAATCGTTGTTATGCGATATAAGTTATTTTGAAAAAAAATGTTAATTGTGAACAACCCTATTGTATATATATGGGGTATGTAAATAGCCAGTAGCCGATTGTCAGAATTACTGATACTCATATTAAATTTGGTAAAAATCAGTAAGTTAATCGTTTCTAACGAGTAAAGTAACTAACATTATGATACGAGAATTTTATATATAAGATAATAACCGTTTTTGTTATATTACTCTTTGACCCAAAAAACTACTGAACGAATCTCAATAAAATTTTGCATTCACATATGATATGACACATGATAGTGGTACACTATCGTGTGTATCCATAGCAGTACTAATATATTTTGTATGATTATTATAACAAATTTTAGAACGGAAATTAAATTTTAGATTGTATAGCAACTATACAAACTAAACGCTTCACGGGGCCACCTGCTTTCTTTGTGCGCTTTCTCTTTCTTTAACCCTGTCTGTTACACGATTGCGTCTTTAATAAAAGCTTCTTATATATTAATAACTTACTTAAATAGTAGAAATCCCTAAATTTTTAATGCATTAACAGAACTATTTTGTCTAACTTCAAAATAGATGTTTTAAACATTTTTATTGTCACAGAAATGTATAACAAAATTACTTAATAAATAATTATTCTATTCCAACAGGAATACACACTTCTAATAGACCTGAATCGTCGCGGTGGTAATCCAAACACGGTGCTTTGTCCCCGCTTCCCTCGAGGCAAGAATGAGGGCTGGATCCTCACACTGGGCACGGTGGATGATGGCGAGTTACACGCTTTGAAACGAGTACCACCTAAAGGAACGACGCAGGTTACTTTCTATACACCTTCTAGAAAAGGTAAGCGTTATCATTGGTTCTTTATGAGTAAGCGTACTCCACGACGTATTATTACGACGTAAGATTGCACAGGTCGAAACGTCGAGCCTTCTAATATATTTAATTTTTTTATTTTATTATTTTATTTATTGTTAAACATACACACTATCATTACAGTACTTATTGCCCAATACAAAAGTGGTACTTACGTTTATTACTAAGTATAAATAAATACTTTTCGCGTTAATACTAGCTTAATTATATGTTGTTAATGTGAAATGCGAAATTTTAAAAGTTAGTAAGCGTACTCCATGGTATGTCGCATCATCACTTACCACCGGCCAAACGCCAGGCTATTACTAAGGATAAAAATAATATTAAAATAAAACAATATCTTTTACGAAATCAGGTCGTACATTTTAGTATCGTCGTTTAAACCTTTAACAAAACAGCCTACTTACTTAGTGTGGGAGGGCCATGCTTCAGTACGACTGGTCCGGTTCGACTGCAGTGATACCACAGCCTACCAGACACACAGTATTACAACGCTTGCGTTGAGTTTTGTTTTGTGAGTGACATTCCCTTCCTCCTCCTCCCCGATTTTTAAATTCCCCAATTCTCAAATCCTCGGGTCATCGATCAAATCAAATCAAACCAAAATCATTTATTCCAACTAAATCATAAGTAGGTACTTTTGAAACGTCAAATCTGCTGGTTTACCTCCTTAACTTATATAAAAAATATCATAATAATTCCCTCTTTCCAGGTCGCATAATTTACACTCTCTTCGTGCTAAGCGACAGTTACATGGGCCTCGATCAACAATACGACCTACAAATAGAACTCATCGACCCATTGCCGTCTGAGAACATCGACAGGGTCTACAATATAGACAAGACTATTATAGAATAAATCAATTTCTTGATTTTTTATATTTATTATATTATTATACCTAAGGTATTTAATTGATTAAATTATTTTATACTTAATTTTATTTTGTGTTTCATTTATTGATTCATGTTTACGTTTAATTATAAAATTGGTATCTGTTATGCAAACTTTTAGAAATAACCAATTATTTATAAAGATGAAGACTAAATTATTTTGATCATACGGCTTACGAAAATATTCTAGTACTAGATTTTTTTAGCTTAGCACTAGTTTAGACTAGAACTAGCTCGAAACGGTGTGCATAAAAATGTTCAGTAGCCATCGTGGCGTAGTCAAGTTTTACTCATATCATACAAAACTTAAAAATTGAAACAATATCCTATACCGTAAAACGGGGTGAATTTTCCTAGTATCTATTGACCCTCCTTCTGTGTCTATTCAGTCCGTTTTACCGTAACTATAGTATAATTTAAATGTAACCAAGTGTTTTTCTGTAAATCATTTGTTAAATAAGGACCATCATAAATGACCATTTTTTTTATCAGGGGAAAATTGTCCAATCACTTCTCCCGCCCAGGGTAAGGCGAGAGAGAGTGTCAGACTCTTACTGACTAAAAACCCCCCGTTCCTTCTCCTGCTCCGGGCCGAGGTCGCGGTGCCTCATTGCGCTTACCCCGCAACCCCGGCGCAGCTATAATGGCGAAGCCTTGGAGCATGACCAATATAGATCAGAATTTCTGTACGTCAAGTACATGTAGTATGATAAACAATTCGCAAATAAAACAACAAATTATTCGACTTATTATTAATTTTATGATCTAATATTTACAGTTTCTTAAACACTAAAAGGCTTATATTCTAATTTTTGTTGAACTGACATGAGTTGTTGCTTAGGAACCCAACATCGATCACAAGACCAACCAGGATGGAGAGGCCGGACTCAGCGATGTACATTACATTTGCTAACCTAAGACTCACCGCACTGGTGCTAAATGCGGATCGTCTCACTTCTGACCAGCATGTAACAAAACACCAACACTTTTGTTCTTTTATTACAAAAATATATCTTATAATTAATAACACTTAAGGTATAATGAGTGTGAACATTTTTTTCTTATAAAAACACTTATAATAGGCAACATCCAAGAACTTAAAATAATAAGCTTACAACTAACATTTTAATTGGTTAATTTTAATTACTGCCCGTGACCCAATAAAGACCATATACTGGGTGACCAGAAGTAATATGTGTTTAACCAAGTTTGTGTATTAGTAACTTTAATAACCCATACCGAAGCCTCTGGTATGAGCTGTTAAAGTTGAGAGCTGTTTGCATCGCATTGAGCGCATTTCGCATGGGGCCCCGACACTTACAGCGCTCACAGATTACTCGTTTCAACTTCAAAGGATTTCCCATTGCATTGGTATACTCACTTTCTTATCTATCGCGTAGAAAGATAATTAAACAAGTACACCAGACGGTTATGTAAAACTACATTTATTCATCTACCGGATAGATTGGTAAATGAATAATTATAGCTAAGCTGTTATCCAACAGTAAAAGTAACATGATCTACAGTTGTAAATGTACAACTGGCATGTTACGAGCCTCGGACTGGAGTAAATCCAGCCGAGTACTCTAGACTTCGGGACCACCCGACCTGGAAATCCAGGACCTCAATGAGGCAGCCATCATTACTGTCGAACAACGAACCGACCAATGGAAAATCCGTTCGGAAACAAGTAATCTGTGAAGGCTGAGGTCGTATTACATTTTGAAGGTTACTCTATTTACGGTGGGTTGTGGAACTGAGGGGCGAACTGGAGGGCTATTGCATGTTGGATGGAGAAGTACTGGGTGGGAAGACCTCTAGCTGGGCAGCAGGGGTCGTCTTGTCACAAGGAATCTGAAAAATAAAATATTTGTTTTGATAAAATTAATTATTAAGTACTTACATACTTGGATTAGAAAAGGGGGGCATGAGACGCGTGTAGGTACTTTGATTCGCGCGCGGTATTTTTTTTTTATATTAATATGAATCTAAGATCTATGAAGTGCACTGTATTTACTACGACTAAGAGTTCAAAGTTGCACAGCAGTACCTAATAGGTGCATACAGATCCCCGCCAAAACAAAATGTAAAATTAATTATATCTTTGTTTTAATTTCAATTATTTCATTGTGTTATAAACAACATTGTTTGTTAAAACCGACTAATATAACAAGTCCAAGTAGTCCAAGTCCAAGTAGTTGAGAAACAAAGTCACGTCAAAGTCATCCTAATAAAAAATGTATTAAAGTGTAAAAGAAAAAAGGTAAGTAAAACTTACATTAAAATGAAATGCCGGTATAAGAGAAGTCGGTTGAGAAGAAACCTGAAACAAAGAAAGAAAATAATGAACTATTTGTTATTGAATACTGAATGGAATAAACAAATAAAGGAACTGTTTTATAATTTGTGAATGAAATGAATGTACAAAATTGCATCGGAAAATACGATGGGTCGTTAGCTCCGCCCACTTCTTAAGTGAACACGTGGCCCGCCATTTTGTTTTCATCATTAACCACGCCCACTTTCGTTGCCAAATGCTGTTTTTAAATTTTATTATGTTTATTGTTTACAAACAAAGGTAAGTTTTTTCAACTTTGCATATGACACAGTTGCATTCCACGTGGTCGATTCTTCTTATGTCATCATTCAAAACACCAGGGATGCATTTATAGGCACCCACGTTTTATTTGAAGTCATTCAAAATAGTCATCCTTGATTTATGACTTAACTCCATTGATAAACCTGATCGAGTTTGTGTTATGTAATGCAAGCTCACAGAGTTCAAAACGCAGGAAGACTTCTCATTATTCGAAGGGACTTCCGACAAAATGGCGCCCAATTGCAGCATCGCCAACGTCATTACGGAACTCGTAGCCACGCCCACCGTAGCATATTTCGAGAATTATAAGTATTTTGATTGAAAACTCGTGATTTGAATATATACACGAATTTAGATTTGTATATAGAAATTTCTCGGAAACCGTTAAATTAGAAGAATAATCTGCTCCAATTATGGCTGCCGACTTCTACGACGTAGCCACGTAGGCCGTAGCCACGCCTACGCCGTAGTCCCCTAACTAGTGTCAAGGTCGCGACTTATTCAAAACAAAATAATTGCCCCATAACAAATTCTTTTTTTTTTACAGGACAATAATCTAATGATAAATAATAAAAAATAACTAGCTATAAAAATGATATAAAATATCTTTAACTGTTAAAAAAACAAATACATCATATCTTCTCAACCAAATAATTTTTACCAGAAAATAGAAAATAAATAACAAAAATGTATGAGAGAGAGCCCTAAAGCACATACCTTTGTCTAAAGCCAAGGGGCGTCCACGAAACGCGAAACACGACCGTCCTGGAGCTCGACCAAAGTCTTTCTGGATGCAGTTTTTTTAGGATATGGACTGCATAGCGCAGGTCCGATCGATATTTTCTCACAGGATAAACTTTTAACCTAGTCATATGAAGTAAGCTCCTAGTATATCGCTGTCTCCGTCACTCGCTTTATGCACTGCTATCTTTGTCCCTCTTCCTCGCGAAGTTAGGGACTCTATGTCCCTAACTTCGCGTCGGAAGTTCATCAAATCGAAGGTTCTAGAACATTCTCAGCAGTGCCGGATTAAGCCAGCGCGGGGCCTGTAGCAAATTGTGCCAAGGGGCCCTTGGTTTGCTAACGGTTCTCAAAAGGGTATTAAATAAAACAAAACTGTTACAAAACCTTTCTAGATTTATTATGGTGAAATTTAGCGATTACACTTTCAATATCGACTTCTTTAAGCAAGTCATGCCCTATATTCAACAACGTGAGATGATTAAGACGTTCTTGGCCCATACTGTTCCTTAATTCATTTTTAATTCGTTAGTGATCATGAGAGATAAGTAAATACGCAAGGCAATTTCTAAATTTGGGAAACACGATTCTAAAGAATTATTTAATAAAAGTTTATAAAATTGCAGTTCCAAAGGCTCCTGTTTCTTGCTGTCAATTACAGTAGCCACATCTGTTTTCAGCAGCTCTGCGAACTGCACTAATTTGCCGTTCTCCAAATCATCTTCGTAAGCACTGAACATCCGATTTTTTCAAAATCTCTTCTGTTGTAAGAGATTTTATCAGTCGAAATACTTTAAAAACACTAGTAATTTTATGATATGCTTTCATACGTTTAGTTATAGCAGACAGTACGTTATCAATTATGACAATAAACACCTCAAATTCGAAACGTTGTCCAGGTGTTTACTTGTACTTTGTATTTCGCTTGATTCGTCGTGATTTCTGTTGATGGTATTCTTCACAGTTAGTCAAAACTTAGGCTCTTGCCTCTTATATCTGAAAATGTGGATCACATTGCTTGGACGTAGCCATATAATGATTCATAAAGGGCGTATCCCGTATTAAGGTCTTGATCAGACGATTGTGAAATAAATAATTTTTAACGAAAATATTCCGATTTCAAAAAGTAAGCTAAAAAGAAAAAAAATTTTCTTTGTAGAAATTAATACATGTTTTCTCTTAGTTAAATAGAAAATAATATTAATAACTATATTATAAATTTGAATTCGGTGCCAAGCAAAACAAAAATAGTGTAATTTTTACCTATTTATAGCTACTGTTAGTTTGATGATTAGGAGGTACCGATCAATATTTTTCTAATACTGTTGCTGTTTGGTATGCTTTGGATGATTCACTTGGCAGAGTAAGCAAGGATAATGGTTTTCGAATGAGAAGACGACGACTACTTGAGACCGAAAATCACGATAATAGTAGTAGTCCTGAGTTAATCAGTGTTCAGTGCTGTAAATCGCTGAGGAATTCCCTCGACTGTCAATGTTCTCCATCATCATTTATACTGCAGACCTTCAATATACTTACGTAATCCGTATAGGTGCAAAGTTCTCATCAATATAAATTAATTAAATCCAAGCACAACATAATTACTCCAAATAGTCAAAGAGATCTTACGATAGTCTTCCTGCTCCATCATCAGATTTACTCCACAACTTC